GGGGGGCTGGACTAGAAGACCTCCAAGGCCCCTTCCAACTCAGTGCTGTTCTGTTATTCTGCAAAATTCTTCTGCTAATCAAAAGAGATTGCACTGTGATTGCGACGACTCATCCGAGACAAATATGGCCAAAAGATAAGAAGCAGTAACTGCTTTTGCTGCAATTTTTTTTTAAAAAAGGCAGTTCTAATTCACTTTGGCTTTTTTTTTTTCCTTTCCTCCCACTTGGATAAGCACCATGAAAGCCTAGCCTACAGCAAAAATAAAATTAACTTCCCAGATCACTACCAAGAGACCGACAGGGCACTTACTACCCACCGTATGGCTCAATTGCAGAATTATAAGCAGCCATTTGGACTTAATGGCATTTCATTCAGGAAAACATTCCTTCTTTCAAAACCGCCGAGTTTCGGTTTTACCACGACAAGCACCATAAAACAATGGAAGGAGTCCTGAAATGTGTTAGATAAGACAATCCATCTGGTCTTCGTTTTCCATAAAACATCCAGGGTTACAATTGTATTGCTTCAATGGGGAAATCCAGGAAAAAAAAAAACAGAAGCAATTAAAAATATTGATGAGGATAACAGGGGTGGGATTCAAAAAATTTAGCAAAGGGTTCTCTGCACGATTGCTGGGTGGGTATGGCCATGGTGGGCGTGGCCTAATTGGCCTCCTGCACCATGGTGGTGGGGGGGCGTTTTTGCCCTCCCTGGGCTCCGGAAGCTTTTCTTGAGCCTCTGGAGGACAAAAATGGCCTCCCTGGGCTCTGGAGGCTTTTCTTGAGCCTCTGGAGGATAAAAATGGCCTCCCCAGGCTCTGGAGGCTTTTCTTGAGCCTCTGGAGGATAAAAATGGCCTCCCCGGGCTCTGGAGGCTTTTCTTGAGCCTCTGGAGGATAAAAATGGCCTCCCCGGGCTCTGGAGGCTTTTCTTGAGCCTCTGGAGGATAAAAATGGCCTCCCTGGGCTCTGGAGGCTTTTCTCGAGCCTCTGGAAGATAAAAATGGCCTCCCCGGGCTCCGGAGGCTTTTCTTGAGCCTCTGGAGGACAAAAATGGCCTCCCCAGGCTCTGGAGGCTTTTCTTGAGCCTCTGGAAGATAAAAATGGCCTCCCGGGGCTCTGGAGGCTTTTCTTGAGCCTCTGGAGGACAAAAATGGCCTCCCAGGCTCCAGAGGCTCTGTGGAGGCTGGAAAAGGGCCTGTTCCCAGCCTTTCAGAACTTCCTGGAGGCCTATTTTTCGCCCTCCCTGAGCCTCCGTGCAGGCCCTGTACTTACTTGGCATCCAGAACAGGCTGTGTGGAGACTCCTGGGAATGGAGGGGCAGGGTGGGGAGGGGACAGCTGGTCATCGGGACTATTGGTTCGCCGAACCAGACATAAAATTAACATCCAGTTCACTTGAACCAGCCCAAACAGGCTGAATCCCACCTCTGGTGAGGAAGCACCATCCAGACAGCTCCATTCATAAGTTCACATTGTTATCAAAGTTTCACTATACCAAACCAGCAGTCTACAGATAGCCCTTGACTTACAACGGTTCATTGGAAGTTACAATGGCACTGAAAAATGTGACTAAGGGCCTTTTTTTTCACACTTATGATCGGGTCAAGAAAAGACATAAAACCGGGCAAATTTCTCATGTAGCACCATAAATGTTGGTCCCAATTGTTGGTCCTTGTAAATTGAAGACTACCTCTATTCCTGCTGCTAATTCAGGAAACCAGCCCATATGAAGAGCAATGCTCTGTTTTTCAACTTTGAGAGGGAAATGAAGCATGTTCCAAGCCATATACCTCAATCTTAGCAACTATTTGGACTTCAACTCCCAGAATTCTGTCGGCTGCAAAATTCTGGGTATGGAAGTCCACCACACATCTTCAAAGACACCATGGTCGAGAAACGCCCTTTTAAAAACTGATTATGTTGAAAATAAGTGAGGAGAGGTCAAGAGTAGAATTTTGCTTAGGATCTCCAGACCCCAAAAGATAATTTGAATAGATAAATTACTCGCTACAGGACTACAGGAACCAGGAGCAGTACTCAGGTAATCCTGAGGACACAAATAAACCTCCAAATGGCCTCAACAACTCTCTTAAAAGGATGCAAATGACCAGCTTGTCTGCAAGGAATATAAATCCTTCCATTCCCCACTATCCTGTCAGAACTGAAAAAGCTTCTTGGAATGAGAAGTAAAACATCTTCAAAGAAGAAAAATAAGAAAAAGCATCTCCCAAAAAAGCAACTTTGGGACAACAACGACTCAGATAAGAACTGACAAACTAGAAATATTTTCACACTTTGCTTCCAGCACTGGGCCATGCGCAGTTTGTCCTTTTAAACAGTCCTCACAGCTGCAGCCTGTAAAGGAGATCAAGGCCCTTTCCTCCCCTGTAGACCACACCATTCACATTTCTCCCTTATCTGCTCCTCCCCGTGTGCCCTAGGATGAAGAGGGGATGGGCCTGGGTCTTCCTCTGAATGCCCAGCCAGCCTGTGCCCTTCCCCAGTTTCCTCCACAACCTCCAGAGCCATGTTCCCACTCCCTGTCAGCTGTTCCTCCTCTTCCTTGGAGTCATATTCTAACAGGACATGACAGGGTAGACTGGGTGACCTTCTGTGTTTAAGGAGAGGGGCTGCAATCATTTCTCAAGACTATGCAAAAGAGACCATCAACCAGCCCAAAAGAAAAGAAAAAGGCTCCAGGGTTTCTCTGTCAGGAATCAGCATCCAGTTCAGCATAGATCAGTACAGCGGTGGAATTCT